CTTTCCTACTCTACAGACTAAATCAGGTAAAGCCCCCTTTGAGCACTTCATTGTTCAAACCGAAGAAGTATTCAAACTTCTAGAGTCACTATACCCTTATAGCTCAATGGGCCTAGACGAGATCTATCCGAGATTACTCGAAGGGAGAGCAGCTGTACTAGCCCCACATTACAAGCGGCTGCTTCAGAACCGCATGGATAAAGGTGAATTCCCTGATGCCTGGAAAAACGCCATCATATCACCGATCTACAAAAAGTGACCCGGCATCACGCCAGCAGCTACACACCGATAAGTCTAACTAGCGTCCTCAGCGAAAGTTTTGAACGTCTCATTAAGAAACAAACTATTGAACACCTGAGGGAAAACAACCTTCTATCCCTTTTTGAACACAGCTTCGTTCCTGGCAGACCATGCATCACCAATATACTAAATGTCATGGAAAGTGCAATCCGGACCTATGATGACGGTAAAATCTGACATGCAATCTTCATAGATGTTGCCAAATCCTTTGGTCGAGTACCACATTCTTCACTAATGCACAAGCTGCAAATGTGTGGCATTAGAGTTAGGCTTCTTAGTCTTCTAGGCAGCTCTCTATCCTTGCATTCCTTCCCTGTTAGAGCAGGAATCTCTTTGTCCTACTATTCCTCGAGGACAATAGGTGTTCCACAGGAATCAGTCCTAAGTCTACTTCTTTTTATCTGATGCATCAATGACCTCCCGTACAAAATCCCGGTCCACATTGCTATCCATGCTGACGATATCACAATCTGGTGTAGTGAACCATCAATTCTACCGGCAGCCGTAGATATCACCAATGTATGGTCATCAGACTGGAGCTTACCAATAAATGATGACAAATGTGTATGTGCTTTGGCTGGGGCCGCGCGCACACCTTCAATGTGTGTAACACATCCCTACTTCAGACTGTCAACCAGTATAAGATCCTTGGCTTCTGGTTATCCAACTCTCTATCTTTTTCGTTCCACCACCAAAGGACCCAAGAAAGGTCTTTGGGTTTCAACTTTATCAAGCGTTTCTTCCCTCGCTTTGATTAAGAAAACTTTCAACTTTTATGTGGCACTCACGTGAGAGACCGCTATTAGAATACGGAGCCCAAATTGCGTGCTCTTGGATTGTGGGTGATATTAACTCCCTCGAACAAGTTTGGCGCGTAGCCACAAAGTTAGTATCAGGTCTCTTCCATGTCCCATATCCCACTCGTCTCACTACACTCAACCTTTATCTCCTAAACACCCGCCTCGTCAGAGTGGACCTCATCCTTTTCATCACTTATATTTTACGGACACTGAGAACCAGTTTTTCACTCCATGTAGCTTAGATGCGCTTTGTGGTCACAGCAAAAAGCTGTTTAAGCCGCGGCTGCGCACCTGAATCTGTCACTGGATCTTTACACAGAGTCATTCCTTTGTGAAACAGCCTGCCGCAGGAGGTTGTTGACGCGCCTTCAAAGAGCATGTTTCAACACATGCTTGATATCTTCCTTGGTCTTAAACACGCTGCCACTAAATCCCATTAGTTGCTCCCTCTCAGTTTGTTCATCTGTCTCTCCATCCACCGCGTTCTCGTTTTAAATGCATTTTTTCAACTGCATTGAGTCATAAGTTTTGTTGATGTTGTGCATTTTTGTGCGTTCAAAGAACAATGAAAAAACACAAGCAAAACAAAAACGAAAACGTATAAAAATGAAAACCTTTTTGAAAACAAAGTGTCATAAATTTTCTTCGTATCTCTAGGCGCGCATTAT